CCCCCCCCCCCAGATATACAATATATACATACACACATATACACACATACATACATACATATATGTGTATATATATATATAGCTTTTCAATAAATTTGTCACTTATCATTATGGATATTTGTAAACAAAAGAATAGAGAGAGAGAGAAAAAGAGAGATATCCGACCTTTAAACAAGAGCATTTATGTGTTTTTTATATAATTTTATACTTATTAAGAACGGCGACAAATTCTAGAAATCATGATCTACATATTTAATCTAAATTCTATTTAAATTGAAAAGAGTTAACGCAAAAATTGTGACAGATCTAATTTTTCGCAAACTAGAAGTCGCAATTCTCTTCGAAGTTGAAAATATAGATTATCATTATCTCTGTCATTATACACTTTCATATATGAATCGAGAATCTTGCTACACTTTTATATATTACACAATATAAGGATGCAATCTTTTCGAGCTGCTGCGTGCACAATTGTCCCGACCTAAATCGTACTAAAAGTCCTCAGGACGATAAGTTTGCACTGTGAATCATACAGATTCGTATCGACAAGGAATAGTTTATTATCATACACAGATTTGTTAAGTGGATTATAATTAATTATAGATTACAGAATTATATCAAAAGAATATATATATATAAATAACAAAACTTTTTTCTCTTCTTTCTTGAACAAAAAACAAGATCAAGCTTGCCAAGCTGTTAAAAAAAAAAAAAAAAAAAAAAATTTCATTCGAATAGATCATTATCTGTTGTGTGTATTATATATATGTATAGATATAATTTATTATTACACTGTCTCTCTCTAGTGTTACATACAAAATACTTGTATATAATAGATTTCAATTGAAGATACAAGCGTGTGAAATCAAATATTTCCTCGTGAATAAATTAAAGAGAATTCAAATCTTGTTGATACGAAAAGTATCCAAGTTGTGCAAGATATATATTAACAAAGTAAGATAAGTAATTCATATTTGTCTTCAATGGCAAATTGATTCGCTGTTAATACGAATATCGTGGATAATGTAAACGCGAGGATGTACGCGGTGTCAAGAATATGAGAAAATTAACTAAAATTTTACTTCATGTTTATACATATTTATATCGAACACAATTCTCATATATAAAAGAATAAAAATTGAAATAAACTTCCATGGCTGATATATGTATATCACGGGACCAATGTGTTGACAAAGACAAAAGTACGCACTTACCTTTTCGAGGCACTCTTGACCGATGGCCTTCGGATCGACCTGCACCTCGAGGATGACGGAATTGGCTTGACTGACGAGACACCACATCCTCGCGATCACTCT